GAAGGGAGGTTTGTGTAGCACCTGCTCAGACTGAATGACAGTCACCATCTGTCATCAGTACAAATCTTATTCTGAATACATTTGCACTGTAGTTTATTCCCTGTTAGTGAAATCCAAGTCAGATCTTTATTTTATCCTTCTCCCTATTGCTATTCATGGGAGTTTTGCCAGTAAAAGGAGCCAGCAAGCACCACAGGATGTGGCCTGTTTTTACGTACAATTACAATGAACAAATTCATTTAAGTTTTGTTTTGAAGAGAAAGTAGTATAAATTCTTAAATACATCTTAAGTATCTACAGCACAGGAGATGAAAGTACAAAGATACTATGCACTAGGGGCAAATCCTCAGGGTTTGGATGGTGCACGAGACATGACCCAGCTGTTTGTGTCAGCTCCATTGTACGGGCTTTCCACAATCTTGATTGCTCTGGAAACAACCCTAGTTCTAGGGCAACGCTATTGTCCCCATTTTATTGGTTGGGAACCAAAACTCAGAAAGGCTGAGTCGTGTCTAGGTTTATGAAGGAGACCAAAAATACTATTGAGACCTGAATCTGGGTTTATGAAGACCTGCTGCAGTGGAGTTCTTGGAGGATAAGCTGTAAAAATGAAGAGTAAAGCCAAGAGAGAAAGTGGGATAGATAGAGAGGGGAATATGGTACTGCAGAAAATGGGAAACTGTTTGAGGCATTGAAAACAACCACGATGCAGGAAATGAACACAAGTTTAGGAGCAAGAGTAATAGTAACAATATTGGAAAAATATCAGGAAGTAGTTGGTTTTTTTATCATTTTTATCAAATATCAGGAGTTCTAAGAGGCTCTTAAAAAGCCAACAGTACAGTGAAGAAAAAATCTAAGCAATCAGGAAAAGCAGAAAAATGTGCAATGTCTGGAGAAAGGAAGTTGTAAAGAGCAAAGAAAAAGCATTAATATAAAAATACACTGCTGAAAAATGCAGTTTTGAGGCAAGTACTTGTGAAGCTGTGCCAACCTCTGTAAATACAATTGGTTTTAAAGTGAGGAGATATTATAGAAAAGTTGAAATATTTGATATTTTCCTAGCAAGTGGTTCAATGTTTTATTTGTGAGTTACAGTTCATTTTACAGCTGAGCTTGTTTTCATTTAAAATAGAGTAAAAGCGATCCAGAAGTGAGATAGGATGTTTCAAGAAGCGGAGAATGAAACATTTCATTATACCTGAAAGAGACTGTTCTTTTTTTTAAGCAATAAAAAAATTGTTCGTGATGCCCTGAAAGAATTATTCTCCCCAGTTTTTCAGTTCTCTCACTGAAGTGAAAAATCAATTATTTGTGCAGCCCTAGTTGTGTAATGAAGCATGTTGAAGAAAAACTTTCGTTAGAGATGGAAGTGCTTCTATACTAAAATTTTGGAATTTTAGATCCTTTTGGGTATCTTAGAGACATCTGAGGAGCCAGGTGAGGGAAGAAGGGAAAGGAGAGGGCTCATCATGCAGGATTATATCATCTGACTACAGCTCTCTTTGTTATCAGAAGGTATCTTGGCACCTCACTGATGTTGCAGGTCTGGGTTTTCAGTTTGGCATGGAGGTGTAGAACTCTTTCTCCATCTTCCAGGAGTCTTTCTCCATCTTATTCCATGCTTCCAGGGTAAGCCAATCTCTTTAAAAAAATGGCACAGAAATCCAGACAGGGAGTGATCTATCAGTTCATCTCAGATTTTTTATCCTGTTCTGGGAAATGGTTGATCACACTAGAAGCAAGTTGATCACACACTGTTGATCGCAAGTAGCACAACTAGCACACTGTTGATGACACTAGAAGCAAGATACACTCTTCTGTACCATTTCCATTGTAACTTTATTAAACCAAGCACTTGTTACAGGGTTAGATGAAAAAAAAAAGCCCTGAATTTCATATCAGTTGTGCCTGCATTGGAACACAAATGTCACTTGTACAAATTCAGTCCTTCAGAAAGGAAGACAGAATTACTTTCCTGTGCCAGTAGTTGATTTTCCACATGCATGATCACTTTGCTTTATACTGGCCACACACTGTTACAGAGACATAGATTCTCACCTAAGAATGGCATGACTGTTTCGTACCCCAATTTCCAAATGAAAACACTGCTGAAAAATTATGGAATACCAGAGATCTTTGTTCTGCATGGGGGCACAGAGGAGTAAGCAAGGCCACTGTGCCAGTCATATCTCCAAGTGATACACTAACCCTCTTTCTTTAGCTCTTCCCATCATGATAGTAATTCTGGAAACACAGAGATACTTACCTGGATTGAGTGAATGAATGTGTAGGTAACTAGAAAAAAATTGGGAAAAGTTATGCTCATGCACTTTAGAACACCGTGTCTTCTCTGAAATTTTTTTTACAAAACTGGTTGCATTGTATGTTGTTTTCACTCAAAAAACCACAGACAAATTCATAGACGTCATTGTCCAGTGGTTTGTTGGTGTATGTTCAGGAAGGCAGGACTTCTCCCTGCTGCCTCCATCTGCTCCGACCAACACAGCTTTCCGGATGCAAGTGATTCAGCTTCTGTCTTTTATACCTTCCTAGTCTTTCTGACAAGACATTCACTTCAATTAGATGATAACTGCCAGCTGAAGTTGTTGCCAGATGAACCCTGACACCACCACAAACCACTTCTGTGAGAAAAACAGTGGATTGCCTAGGATGGCTGTAATGTTACCATGCTGTAATACCCCAGACAATGAGGGTTTTGGACCATCTAATTATACATCCAAACTGGCAGCTTTGCAGTAGCTGAATCAATGAAAATGTAAATACTTATTTTTTTAGTATTTTGCAGATATCAATAGAAATGTATATACTTGAATTTGAATGAACTTAAGTAAGATGAACATTGGTTCTTTTAATTTTTAATGTTCCTCCGTCACCCCTTTACTTATTTATTTTTGATCATGCAACTGTAAGCAGGTGTTTGAAGTGAGGAAGCCCTGGTATATCAAAGCCCTGCTGTATAAAATGGCCTGGAATTCCTGAAATCCTACATTATGAGTTTGTCAGCTCTGAGTTTGTGTGAAGCTCCTATTACAGAGCCTTTGAAAGAAATTCTACATCACAAAAAAGCAGTAATGTAAAACTATTTTTATTGAAAATACATCTACAAAGTAATGTTTCTCAATCCACTCTGGGTGCATACCAATGCAGAACCAAGGAGGGATGGGGAAGGGAATCTTTCTATAATACCTGATTTCCATAAGAAACAAAGTTAGTATAAAAGAAGATCACATTCTTTGTGACACAATACATTTTTCTCAGCTGATGTCATAGAAAGACAGCCATTTACATTGTCTTTGCAATGTATTTCCAAACAAAATCTTAACAAAAAATTAAATTGTTATGCCATAAATTCTACAGTTAATGTTTATACACACATTCTGAATACAGTATCTATATAAAAATATCTCTAATTACATACCAGCAAATGCCTGTCTGTATCCTAGATTTGCATTCTCTTAGCAAAAAAAAAAAAAACCCCGTACTTGTTTTCTTTCAGTCAGAGGTTCATTTAGAGCTTTGTTGGTTTGACTGCTCAATGCTCTGTATTAAACTCTGCTCACTTCATTCACTGGAGTTCCTGCTTGTATTGTCTGGGTTACTCAACTGGAGAAGATGGGCAGGAGTTTTCAGTCATAAAAAAAACAGTCTTGCCTGGGAAAATATTTGCCTTCAACCAGCATGCTGACATTATCACTACAGTTACTTGTACACCATATTTATGTTCTTTTAGTGACAGAAGCAACATATTGAATGTCTTCTGAGTGGCAACTGGGACACTGCAAGGGAATCCTTCATTTCCATCATCAGAATTTTTGGTAGGGGAAGGGAGAAAGAAGACAACTGAACTTTTTAATAAAAAAGATCACTCAACACTATTGTGCCTGATGATTAATATTTTTTCATTCACCCAACTGTAACTGCATTATAAAAATTTCCAGTTTAACCTCTATAATAATACAAGGCAAAAAGGAAAAAATACATAATTTATTTTTCTAAAAAAGGGCTTCATCAGGGAATAATCTTGAAATGAACAAAAAAAGCCACAGGATTACAAGTGCATTGTCTCCCTTTTTTCATTCCTTCCTTATCTATTCCCTGAAAGAAACCTACAATATTGCGCTTTAAAATCCTTTCTAATTAAAATTTCAATGTTTATTATAGTATTTACTGTTTTGAAATTTATATATTTTTCCTAGTAAAAAGTAAAAAAGCACCCATTAGTTTTATTTTCTAAAGGGTTATTTTTTCTTTTTGAGATGCTACTGATAAACACACAAGGATTTCGAATTTCACATTGAGATAGGGAGCCTTCTTCTCCAGATGGAAAAATTTGAATCCAGCTAACAGGTCTATAACTTATCAGTGGGATGATCAAGCATTTGGGAGGTTTCCAATCAGAAAACCTCCTGTTGGTCTCAGGGATTCAGATTTAGAATCCAGTCCCTTTAGGATCCGAGCATCTCACCCTTCTGCACCTTCTGCAGAAGGCTAGCACTGCCTTCTCTTCTTGTTATTGGTTATTAAGTAGATAATTGGCATACCCAGAGCATGCTGTGTTTTTTTTCCAAACAGAGATGAAGACACATTTTCTGTCCCAGCCTAGGGCCTTGCTCCTACAAACACTTACACACATAGATTGTTCAACTGGATTGTTGAAATTAAGGGGGCAAATCCAGATTGGAGGTACATGCATACATACATAAAAGTTTGCAAGTCAGTGGGAGCTGAGTAGGCTAAGTTTTTGTCAAGATCAGCTGAGGCTAATGCGGAAAACTGTGTCTAGCTAAAATAACTTTCTCAGAAGTATTTCAACTCAGCTGATAAAAGTGCTGATTTTGGGTATTTTTTCTTTATTTGTATATCTTCTCCCTTTTTATCCTTTCAATTAATGTCCTTCTTTTTATTGTCCTGCTAGTATTTAAACTGTAGTGAAAAAATCAGATAAAAAAGCAAAAATCCTGTTAGTTTACATAGCTGGATGCAGTTATCAAGTTAGAAGTATTGATTGTGTGTTTATAGATGTTAGGAATTTTGCAACAGGTATTTAAAAAAATAAAACCATTTTCAAGCTCTGTTACCTGTTTTTACTTTCCAGTTCATTAAAAAAAAAAGTTCACAGGACTGGATAACATATACACTGATTTTTGTTTTTATTTAATTGACAATCTCTCTTTTTTCATCCTCAGTTAGCACATGTCTAGCAGGACCAGTGTTGTTGCCTGTTAATTTTTTTTAAGTGGGAAGCCAACATATACCATGATCACTGCTAATTTGGAATATATTTTCATTAATTCTTTCCAGTGCTAGCATAAAGGGAGAAAACAAGGAATAAGTGAACTTGGTGAATTCAAGATATAAATGGCTGGAAAAAATGTGTGTTTTCCACACTTGTAGTGTTGGTCTCATGCTTTCTTTACCCTACATCTTGGTTTCACTATCTAATGGTTTCTCACTCTCATTTTCTTGTGAGATCAGTTGGTATGGTTTCTTCATTTCATTCTCCTCTATCACAGAATTACCCATTTCAGCATCCCTGTTCTTCAGCTCGTGCCGTGATAAATGTTCAACAATTCCTGCTCCAATGGAGTCTCCCAAGACATTGGTAGTGGTACGGAGACGATCCCTAAGGAGAAATAGTAAGTTAGCCTTGATTTCACCACTTGTTCAGGGAAGCATGCAGACTAGCTGTTAAAATGGCCTTTAAATAGCTTCTAGAAGATTCAGCTATTTTATGTATATTCATTTATCTGAACAGTTAATGCCATGATTTCTTCAACAGAAATTAACAAATATACTAGGATTTGGAGTCACAAAATGTGTTAATACTCTTGGCAACTTCACAGCAAGAAACAGCTGTGTGATGAGGATGACAAAGGGAGCGTATGGCAGGTGCTTCTCAGGGGCATTTCTATACTCTGGTGGTTTGGGTTTATAACCTCTGAACATGTAAGCCAATGAGAATCTACCTTGTTAGGGTCAGTAGTTTAGGGTGGAATTCTGCTGAAATAATTCAAATTAAACTACAACAATTCAGCCCTCTTAGAGGGCTATGCCCAGATGTAGGAGGCAGCTTGATGAGGAACAACTGGCACTGTTAATTCAATAAGCGTCCACCTACACAAGGCGGTGGGCATGTGGTTAGATAATCATTTGAAGACTTTATGTTCTGATAACAACACAAGCAACTTCTTGCAGGGATCACTTGAGAAGACTGAAGGGTAAAAGCCTCTGGAAACTATAACTAATAGGGGTTAGATGAAATAGAGGTCAGAGGAAACCTTCTGCCTTTGATTTAGTTCCTGGAGCTAAGGGATTTCCCCATATACCTACAGGTGTCAGTTAGTCTTCTACAGACAGAGGAATGGAAAAACTGAGGGGCAATACATTGTGGTGGCTGAATAAGAGAGTTAACACAACTGTTTTTCATTTCTGTGTCCATGGGGTAGACATGAACCTTTCCAAGATTAGTTAGCAGGGCTGCAATGAACTGGGTTGGGTCTGAACCAGCTCTGAGCCTGATTGATGGAAAGGTTTTCATTGCCATCCTACAAAAAATAGAAGACTAAAGCAATTCTTTGCTAATTTAATTACAGTGTGTCTGAAAGTTTTCTTAGTACCCTAAGGATCCAGGTTTCTAAGTAACCCTTTTGCATGCAAGAGGAACTATTAGGTAACACTCCTCACCATCTGCTCTAAGAAAATATATTAATTGCAAGAAATTATGATTCTTTTTAACACTTCTTTCCAACTGCCTTCCACAGCAAAAGTAGTACACCACTGATTGCAGTATTGCCAGAATGTCCCTGGCTATTGCACTTCTAAATATGGTCTAAGCCCTTAGTGACTCCATAAAAATACTTACAAGAACCAGTCCACTGCAATGATAAGAGTGATATCATCTGTAGGCAAACCTACTGATGTAAGCACAATGACCATGGTGACCAGTCCAGCTTGAGGAATGCCTGCAGCACCAATACTGGCAGCTGTAGCTGTGATGCTGTGCAAAGAGATGGCAAGAGCAATTAATTGACTTCCATAATAAACTCTGCTTATCATCTGGCAGACATTAAAACCAGATATGAAGCAAGAAGGCATTTGCTCAGTAGTAAATAAAAAGATGAGCCCAGTCCCTTATCTGAATACTGCATAGCTGCAGGGAAGTGTGGATCTTAATCCAAAATGTTTACACTAAACCTTTATCCAGAAACCTCGAAACATGATTTTGTTAAGTGGTAAATCCCCTACTAGATGCTAAGGGCCAGACAAAAACATTATAGCTACATGCCCCCACCCATTGAACAAACTCATTCCACAAGCTCAAACACGTTAAAAGAAAAGCTGAAGAGGTAATTTTGTCCTGGCAGATCTAATGCAAGAACTTTTATTGTCTGTCAATCTCACTATAACTTCATGCCAGGTGAAGTATCTGTCCTCCAGCAGTTGGCATTCTGCCATCAGAAAACAGAAAGCTGCCAGAAGCCTTGAATCATACAGTCTAGTAACTTGATAGAAATATGCTTGTTCACACCTGGTTTAGGAAGAATTTGTTTTGTCAGGTGGTTTGGCAGGGAGCAGCTCTAGTACTAATGAATGTGGAACTATTGCCTTGGAGTGTGAAGGCAGAGTTTTGCCTTCTGTTGATGAATATTGAATTAAGCTGGTGGGTTTTATGGACAGAAGCAGTTCTGCTTGAAAATCTTTTACATTGCCAGTTCACCATATCTGAACTTTCAGTGTTCCTGAGTGATAAATACTTGTCTCGCTGTCCTACAGTGTCCTTCTCTCCTCTTGCTGACATTTCTTTCTTCTGCACATGCAGCCATCACCCTTTTCTCTTAAGCTGTTTGAGTAACAGAATGAAATTAATGCAGATCAGTTATTACTTAGTGGGTTGTTTGCTGTTCTGTTTCAAACATGAAGGCTTGTGTGCTGGAAAACATACCTATCTCCTCCACCTCTATCAGCTGGTGTAATAAAAGGTATTACTGCTCCTTACACAGCTTGCTCTACTTGTATCCCGAGACCGTCAGGACTAGGAAAACACTACCTCTCCTAGCATTAGCACTGTGACACTTTTATGCTACTGCTTTGTACATGCATTATAAACAACCTGGTACTAATTGTAAGTCTATAGCTCCCAACAGCGACATGAATTCTTAAGAAAGAAAATTTAAAAGTCTGTTCTTGTTGACTCTACTAAGTGCAGTGATAGGTGTATCATGTTACAGTTTTTTAAAGGTTTACCTGATGGAGAATATGTGCTGGGGGGCCTTTTCTGTGCAAAAGATGTAAATCATTACAGTTAGTCAGCTACTTTAGCAGTTCTTGTTTTTAGCTCTAGATGCTTTTGTTTAATCCCACATAGAACAGCAAGAAGGAGTGATCACAAAGGTGCTTTTAGCTTTTATTAGATGTAGGTAATAATGGCTTCTGTACCTGATTGTGATAATCTGCCCAAAGTTCAGATCAAAGTTGTTAACCTGTGCAATGAAAATTGCAGCCAAAGCCTCATATAAAGCAGTTCCATCCATATTAATTGTAGCACCAACTGGGAGTACAAATCTTGTAACTCGTTTGTCCACTCCATTTATTTCTTCTAGACACTTAAATGTAACAGGTAGTGTTGCAGAACTGAAACAAACAAAAAAGAAGGTAATATATAAATTCTACAGAGAGGGAATGAAGACAGTGTCACGCATTATGATGACACATTATGAAGAGAGATTGTTCTAACTGTTTTCATTTTTATGTGATCTACCAGAATATTTTTTTTAAAAATGTGAAAGCTGAATTTAAACACTTCTAATGATGGAAGTTCTCCTAATGCTCTTTGAAAGTTTTTCCAATGGTTAATTAATGTCACTGTCTATGTAGTCCCTGGTCTGAATGTGTCTACCTTCAGTATTTTGTCATGATTCCTGCTTCTCATTTTTTATGTCATGGAGTTATGATTGAATCATCCCTAAGCATTGTTTTCCTGAAGTTTTACAAATTGAGCTATTCAAACATTCAGTAAACAGCATGTTTTTTCTTATTTATTTGCTGGCTACCCTGGTAAGGGCATTTTGATGGATGATTACATTACTTTACCACTTGTGGGTTAACACCAGTAGGCAGCTAAGCACCACACAGCCACTTGCTTACTCACCCCCACACCCTGAGTGGGGCAGGCAAAGAGGAAAGGAACAGTAAAAGCAAGAAAACACAGGGGTTGAAATAAGAAAAAAAGTTCAGTAAGTGAAGGATAAGTCGAAGAAGAGAGAAAAAAAACAAAACAAAACAAGTGATGCAAAGGCAATCACTCACCACCTCCCACAGGTAGACCAATGACCAGCCAGTTCCTGAGTAAAAGATAGCTAGCCTCCCTGAAATGCCCTCTTTTCCCTTTTTATTGCTGAGCGTGATGTTATATGGCATGCAATATCTCTTTGGTTAGTTCAGGTCATGTGCCTGGTTGTGTGCCCTCCCAACATATTCCTCACCCCTCAATCTACTCACTGCGGGGGCAGAGTGAGGAACAGAGAAGGCCTTGACACTGTGCAAATACTGTTCAACAATAGCTAGAACATCACTGTGTGATCAGTGTTGTTTTGGTCACAAATCTAAAACACGGCACCATACAAGCTGCTATGAAGAAAGTTAACTCTGTCCAGCCAGGCCCCATACACTTCTTAATCTTGTTCCCCTGCTGTTACATCCAAATATGATATAAATGATAATTTCATTTAAAGACCAACCCAACTGAACATTTTGGCTTCATATGCTACCGGAGTGCCCATTCAGCCCACATGATGCCAAGTTCCTTTTCAGAGACACTGCCTCAGAAGGATGGATAAGGTGGCCGTTTTATAATAGCTGCCTGGGCAGTTTGTTCTTAAAGATGTATCTCTACATCTGATCACACCAAAGTAAAGAGGTTTTTCAAGACCCAGCAATTCAGATTGCTCTACCTCAGTGACCTCTTCATTGCTAACTACTTAACAGACTTTCATGTCTTTGAAAACTTTACCAATATTGATAAAATGAAATACTGATAAAATGTAAAGAAGGGCTGTGGAAGATTGTGCTAGAAAATCTCTGATGACAGTCAACTTACAGCTGAATTTTAAACAGTTTTCAAATCCACTCGCAGTGTAGTATGCTCTCTTGCATCAATCCAGGTTCTCACTCAGAATCTTGAGCAGTGCCAAGTGGAATGTCTTACAGAAGCTGGAACATATCCTCTTAACACTATTACTGTTACCCACCAAAGTTATAGTTTAATTTTATTTTCTCTTAAACTATATTGGCTGGCATTAATTTTATTATCTTCTTTTAAAAATTGTTATTAATTGAATTCCCTTTTAGGCATTCAACAAATTTGCAAGGATTGACATCCAAATGTCAAATGTGAAATTAGTAATTGTCCCTCTCTACCCATTAATGTACTGTCATAATTTCTTTAAGTCTTCCAGAGCTTTTTCAGTTACACAAAACTTAATCAGATTCTGCATTAATGGTCACAATAGCTTCTCATCAAGATCTTCAGGATAATCCCGAACACCAGGGACTTGAATCTGGTAATACAGAATGTCTGACTTAAAACATCTGTCTTTAGGAGACACTTTTAAAATCTATTAAAATGAAATATGTTTTATCATAGAATCATAGAATCATAGAATCATTAAGGTTGGAAGAGACCTCCAAGATCATCGAGTCCAACCGTCAGCCCAACACCACCATGCCCACTAAACCATGTCCCTAAGCACCTCATCTACCCGTCTTTTAAATACTTCCAGGGATGGTGACTCAGCCTGTTCCAATGTTTAACTACTCTTTCAGTAAAGAAATTTTTCCTCACGTCCAATCTAAACCTCCCCTGGCGCAACTTGAGGCCATTCCCTCTCGTCCTATCGCCAGTTACTTGGGAGAAG